TTCCCTAGTAGGTGTGACAGACCTCTAAGCCGCTTAAGTTGATTGCAATTTAGCGATAATCCCCTCGGAGATAGATCGATCCACAGTTACTACGATAGGGTCTGGGAATGGTCCCAATAAAATAAAAAAATATCATTATCATCGGCTTAGTCATCATCAAAGGGTACCATCTACTCTCAGCAGGATTTTCATAAATCGCCATGGCCTCAATCTTGTGCCATTTGTATACTTTGACTTTAATTTTGATTGTTTCATTTTATTTTATTGTCCACCTTTATTGTTCTTGGTCTTTCCCCCCAACGTTTTCCATTTAATTTCCCTTCCAATAGCAACCGCTGCAAAATCTCTTTTTCTATGGTACAGTCAAAATAAGTTAATTTTCTTTTCTTGATGGTGTTGAATAATGATCTTTTTATTTTTGGATTATTTCATATTTCCTCATTATTTTTGTGTTTTGCCCATGCTTTTTTAACTTCCTTCTACACATCCACATTTCAAACGTTTTTCAGTTTTTTCATCGCTGTGTTTTTTTAGTGTCCATGTCCCTGAGCTGTATAAATGTGTTGACCAGATGAAACATTTAAAATTTTAAAATTAAAATGATATACAGCCTTGGATTGATGCCAATGCTTCTTGGTTTTAAAAATCAAACTAAGCTTCCAAATACTCATCTTCCAATTTCTATTCATTTTTTTATTTTTCTGTCCCATTCACCCCCTCCTGTTGTCATGACCAGGTACTCCATGCTTCTGACTTGCTGAATTGCTTTTTCTTCTACAGTTATGCTGGTATTATCCTCTGGAACTGTTTTTTTTTCTTTGCTCACTTCCATTTCTTTTGTCTCTACAATGTTAAATTCCATGCCGCATGCTTTTCATTTGATGCTAGTAACTCACGCAAGTCTTTTCTGTTAGCAAATCTGTATCATCTGCATATCGCAGATTATTAATGTTGATTCTTCCTATATACGCACCTTTCATATATTCGATTTCTCTGAATATTTTTTTTTTTTTCATTATACAGGTTGAATAAATTTGGTGAGAGCACAACTCTACCGTACCCTTTTCTTCATTTTGAATTCATGCTCTGTTTTTACTGCTGCTGTCTGTTTCCAAGAAAGTTTGACACGATTTATAGGTCTTTATTATTTATCCCAATGTCAGATAGACCTTTAATCATCTTTGAATGCTTTACTCACAAAATAAAATAAATAAGATAAAATAAAGTTAAATATAACTGTACATAGAATATGAACACATTGCATACTTTCAGCCATGTTCTTTCGTGCATGGGTGTTAAAATCCGACACGATCTTTGTTTAATTGTTTTACCACTGACTTCTTCGAACATCGTGTCTTTTAAGGATATCACAAGCCCGATGACATTGAAAGTCCATTAACTATAGGCTTGTAAATGTTACCTCTCTTTCTACGCACATTTAGTTTCTATATGGATAACCTATTTTTTGTCACGCTAGTAAGCTTAGATTGTGTAAGCTCTTGCTTCCTAACTCCCTCGTGACCAGCTAGCTATCACAATGACAATAGAAAAACTTACGTAAAGGAGCAAATAAAGAGGCGGAGGTGTATGGAGTAAAAATAAACACACCCATTCTTCTCGCGCAAATGTCTCATATCTGACACGCAATATTCGAAAGAATTGAATGATGGTGGCGGTGGTGGTGGTGGTGATAACGGGGAGGGGGGGGGGAGGGGGGGTCAGGGGCAGATCCAGAGATATTTTCTTACAGTCTTCCAAATTATCTTTATTGATCCATCCTCCATTTTGACCGTCTTCCGATAGAAAAATTTAGATACCCGTCAATGTTAATTTGAAAATCTGACCGTCTTCAGGAAGACCCAGAAGGCGGCCTCAATTCGCCCCCGGGGGGGGGGGAGGGTCCACTAGGATATATTCGAGGCGCTGTTTGGTCAAGTGGAATTTGAATTGACATTTTGAAGGTGCTACATGTATAAGACACTTCCAGCAGCGCCAGAATACATAAACATGAAAAAACTTAAGAGGGGGCGTTTTGCCTTTAACATGTAGCTGATTGAACCAGAACGATACCAATGAAGGGTAAAAGGGTCCTGCCGACAGATGGATGAAATAAAAAGTTCAAGTCGTTGTAATAAGTTATGAAAGAACCGCCCTTTTGTCAGGAAAAGGTCCATTCTGAGTAAAGTTTGGTCTAGGTGCACCAAAGTTTCATTGTAAAAAGTTCTCATTTTCGGAAAAAGACCCCCCCTCTTTTTCGAAATGGCTGCATACGGGCCTTCAAACTTTTTCAATATTAAGCTGTTGATTGAAGAAATTTCTTCATTCTTAAAACTTAACCAACTGATGAAATTCTTCTCTGTATATTTGAATGTTCGATGCAAAGCTCTGCCAGCGAATTCTTGTGGATGCAGTGCGACGTATTGCAAGCGAGAAAACCAAACTAAATCACAAGGCTGACCACAGTTAATATCCAGCTTTATTCAACTTTTAGTGCATGAAACACTGTTTCAACAACCCAATAAAACACGACAAGGTAAACTTTTGACGGGGGTCCTTTCAATGATTGGTTCGTGTTCAAAAAGTGGTAATACATCTTAATCAGCGATATCGTACTCTGTCAGCATCTGTCGTTTTTGACAGCAAAAAGGTTTTGGTTCAATCAGTTAGATCTGTCAGTGTCTTGATACTACATATTAAACAAGATTATCGTAGACAGGGCATTTTTTCGAGTCAATTTGTTCCAGTCTCTCCTGGGTAATATACACAGCTGTGGACATATTTCATAACTACCTCATCAGTTTAAGATTGATTTTGTGTCTTCCAGTTAAAGGTTACTGCCCATATGTGCGTCTATGATGTGCGTTCACGCACGTGGGTCTGTGTGCACATGTTTGTGCATGTGCACATGATCCTACAGGCGTGCTAAATATGTGCATGCGAACGCTTGTGTTTCGGCAAACGCATCTGGGCCCCGTTACTCGAAAGCATCGGGCATTGCGACCGAACGCAAGCGTCTCGATTCCATAATTTGCCCATACTCGCCCCATACGAATACACTGTAGCCTCTATGTGATATCGCTATTCGCCATGCGCGATGCTTTCGAGTTACGGGGCTCTGATTCCATTTCAGTCTGTGTGCCCTTTTCTGAATGCGTCTTTGATTAAATATGCGTGGTGTGTAGGGGATGCGGTATACATTGATTAGTCAAACAGATCTGATTACCTCATAAAAGAGATCAAATACCATTTTATAACGGTGTAATCTTAGATATAAATCTTATCTAAACACCAATGATTCTGAAGAAGCAAAATATCAACGATTCCTTATGGATGGTGTGATCACTTTTCTTGCATTGGTGTATGTTACTACCGGTAGAATTGCCTATCATCAAACAAACGTTGAAAAAGATCATTCGGATTGAATTAGCATCTTGTGGGTAAGTTCAGGCAGTTTCAATTTTAACAACTTTGCAATTGCATTAATATGTCGATAACAGCATGTCGCACAAATTTACAGGTAAAGAAAGTGAAAATGAAAACGACAGCCAACACTTGAGAAAAAAAAAAGATCCATGGACCTTATTCGATTTCTTGTGAAGAAATAGATTCACTGTGATCAAATATAACCTTGAGTGGAGACCAGATCAATACTGCATGGCTTTAGCTTTTACTTACCAGCGAAAACGGATAGAAGTCAAACCCTTGTGACCCATGTCACTTATCAATAAAGGGAAATTAAATCCCAAGCAATAACCTTCTGTTTTTAAGATAATAACTTAGAAAGCTCAATATTGAATTTGCCAAAAACACTGATTCAATAATGATCCTTATGTTATAAACGATTCCATTTGTTTTAGTCTGTCTTATTTTAGTCTTCATTGTTATTTGATTCATGCAACTAATGAAAATGAATTAGGAAAACACGATTCACTCTAAAATGCCAGGACGTGGAAATAAATGAGTTTCAAGTGTTGATTACAAGAACAGAATATATATAATGAAATATGATTCACATCATTCTAAGTTAAAAGCCCAAAATTACAGAATAAAATTTGGAGAAAAAATAAGACGGCCGGACTTCTTGCCAGTCTCTTCTTTTTCCTCACCGATTTTTACCTACGCCAAGGAGATTATGTTTTCACCCCTGTTTGTCTTTCTGTCTTTCTGTCTGTCTGTCTGTTTGTTTGTCATCAACATAACTCAAAAAGTTATGGATGAATTTCGATGGAATTTTCAGGGTAGGTCAGAAATGGATTAAATTAGAAGTATTAGTTTTTGGTGGTGATCCGGATCAATAATCTATCAATAATCCATAATCAAAAATAAAAAACTAAGTTATGGACCGATTTCGATGAAATTTTCAGGAACTGTCAGTAGTGGGCGAAGGAACAGATGATTAGTTTTTTGGTGGATCAATAATCAATCAATAATGAATCAATAATCAATGATCAAAGATAAAAAAAAATTAAGTCATTATAGAATGAAAATTTAGGGGTGAAACGGCATTGGGTGGACACTTTGCTGCCTTGAAGGAGGTCTGCGCTCTCGGAGTGCTTTTTTGGTTATTATTATTATTATTATTATTATTATTATTATTATTATTATTATATAATTTATTAAAACAATAAAAATTATCAAAATAATTATGACATTATTAACTGGATGCATACATGCTCTACATGTGGTGGACGATCTTGCTATATATACACGTGCGCTTTGGATAGATATGGTCATTTATTTGTCTACCCTTCCAAAAGTCAATATCTAAGGAGACTCCTGCGTGCAAGTAGGTATATTCTACTGCCGTGATGTTTACGTTAAGTAATGAAGATTGTACTACCTGGCATCCCCATACCTATGTTTAAAAACAACGCACAGCGTTCGCATTGTCTGACGTCACCAGCTGCCGGCCAATAACAGCAAAAATGCCGCGACATCGATCGTATCTCCTCATATAAATACTTAGTCAGCGATTATTTGATCTAAGTCGAATACAATATTGCCTAGTGTAAATATTTTATGTGTGCTGCATGCAGATATTACCTAGAGTTTCTCTGGGCTATTCTGTAATTGCCACGGTTATTCATCAAGTGAGAGAAACTTCAAGACAGTATCTGCCGTGTTGAGCTGTATCATTTAGAACGACAAAGAAGCCGTTTTCGTACTCAAAGACCCAGTCGCACCGTACTCACTCACTGCCCCTGATCATCATGAGAGGAGATGCGAAGCGCACGCTTTCGACGCCTGTGGCAATACCTGAGAAACACCAATTCCATCACAGTCACACCGTCGGTGAAATTTCGACAGGTAATGGAACTGATGATTGCGGAGGTAACCTTTCTCCTACGGAAGCCGCCAGCGACGTCAATAGCAATAAACCACCGCAGCGTAGGGCGCCCAGTTTGAAATACTGCAGCTCTAAGTACCTTTACTCGGCCCAGGTTCAAACTGATATGGCGAGAACCAGCGGTGGAACCAGTCCCAACTCACCCGTATCATCAGGGCTTTATTTCCCTCACTCTTTATCCCCAATACGCTCTCGTGCGAATTCAGAAAATAAAAAGGACTGGCGCCCACGGGATGGCGACACTTCCTTCTCTCCTAACCCACGCCCCAGAACGTGGAGCATGCCGGCAAAACACTGCCGCCGACGCGGCCAATCGGCGGACGAACCCCTGCCACCGGCCGTGTGTGCCATTCCGGAGTACGCAGGGAACGGTCAACTTCAGCGCGTGCGATCGTTTACTTTGTCGTCAAAGGGCCTGAAAAATAGAGGGGACTCCTACAAGAAAAAGACCACCGGCAGCAACCAGAGCATGGGGCAGTTGGACAATTTCTGCTCTCTCGTCACAGAGGAGGAGTTCCGCCAGCGCACCTCCAGTGTAAATTCCCAAGGAAGTTTGACGCACAGAAGTTGCGGAAGCGGCTCGAGCGAGTTTCGCCCGTCCTACAAAGTGGTGATCTTTGGCGCCGGGGATGTGGGCAGAACGTCCCTCACGAGACAATTTATGACCTCAGAATACATGGGGGCCTTCGACGCGAGTTTTGGTAAGTTCTACTTCTTTCGTGTTTCTTCGCGTTTTGTAGGGTACGCTGTGATAAAGCAGCTTCTGATCGGAGACCACATTTTCAAAAAATATCATATATTTTTCTTTTAATATTCTCAATTACAATATAAAATTATATGTAAGGCCGTGTGAATGTAAGCGGAATAGAGTGCATGTATTCACGCGCGTTAGCGCGTATCCTTATCTAGCCTCGGGATTTTCGTTCCATTTCCTGTAACTGCCTCTTCTCAAGGAAAATATCCATTTGCCACTCTGTCGGGTAGATAAAAGATAAAAGCTAGTGTTCACTCAATCATTTTCATCTGGTTAATTACCATTCTTAGGTAAGAAAATTCCACTTTGGCATTTAGAGTGAATGTCACGTTAAGATTGTATTGATTGGTGGACATGGAAAGAAGCGCGGGGGGTCCATTGGGTTTGACATTCCATTCTGTCCTATGAATTACATTTGCCTTTTTTATCCTATGGGGAAACAGGTTTCAGTCAGGAATCAAGCATATGTTTGATGTGACGTGCAAAATCTCTTTTTGGTGTGTATAAAAAGTTGGCCTAAAATGAAGATATAAATGTACTAGCGTGTCTCTAATTCCTTAGTTAATCGTATTGAGATAGTCGGTGCTTATTGAACAAAAGGTACATGCATGTCTCTGACAGATACATTTATCTTTTTTTATTAAATAGGCACCAATGCTCAAGCTGCTAAACTCTTTTTTTAGTTTTCTAACTAGCATCACACCTGTGTGGCAAATACAGCCCCTCCTTGAACTAGTATCAACCCATTTGATCCTAATTGCAACAGCGGGAACACGATTTAGCGGTGCTTTGAAGTTAGGGCTGTTTTGTCCAGAAGTCAAATTCATCATGAAATGAAAGAATGTGTACATGAGAAACACGCAGATTTTGTGGACTTTCTTTGCCCCCTTCCCCCCCTCCCCCCCCCCCCCCCCACACACACACTCAGAGAAACCCCACTACACTATGCTCAGCTTTTCGTATTCCTGGTAGAAACGAGCGGTTCAATTTAGAGTGCTTTCTTAGGCAAATTAAGTACTTTCTTAAATCAGACCCCTGATGTAGGTTTCTAACCATAATTATATATAAAAGACCAGTCCAACACAAGATATTTTACCTCAATTACAGAATAATGGCGCTTGGCTTAGCAACTAAGAGATTGGAATGGCTTAATTCCTACGATTAGATGCGTTAACCGCAGGTCTTAAGTTTAAGTTAAGTGTTGACAGGATCGCCTTTTCGTAACGACTGATGTAATATACATGTATATGCTGAAGTACAAATATATAGATAAGTAGGTTTCGTAAGTCGAAATTAGTTTTTTCTTGTCGAAGACTGTCAGCAAACAAGGTACTTGTCGCCTTTCGATATTAATGGCACTGTCTCAATGGCCCAAGTTATGTAATCCTCGTGCGACATTAATCAATAGATGTGGATTTCGTAAGCCCGATTTTATTAAATATCTCCGCGTCAATAACTGAAAATGGAAGACGGTGCTCAGATATCAGTTTCGTTAATGCCAATGTTGATTAAAATTGATGACACATTGATTAATCTGATACCTTACTTTTAATTCCATTTTTATTACACAATGGCGCCTTCGCCGGATCGTGTGCACCTAGGCAAAGAATGACATTTCACAAGAAAATAGGCGGTTGTGCTGAAACTCCATCGTTTTTCACATTTGACATTACTGTATTTAGCAAACTAATCATTTGGTCGTTCTTATATTGACGTATCTTTTTCATGGGTGTTGAAGGTGTGACATATATATACGGCATCTATCATTAACAAGTGCCTATATAAGTTGCGTCTGCATGGTGTATGTACTAATAAAGAAACTGCTATTAGTATGAGTGCGTTGTAAATTGCAGGGGTAGATTCAGAGATATTTTCTGACAGTCGATCTTCCACATTATCTTTGTTGATCCATCCTCCATTTTTTGACCGTCTTCCGACAGAAAAAATAGCTACTCGTCAATGTAAAAATTTAGAAATTTGACCGTCTTCCGGAAGACCGAGAAGACCGCCTCAATCCGCCCCAATGTACTTAATTTTACACAATTCATGCTAGTTTGTTTTCAATGTCCCCTTCATGTAGGTGCATTTGTACCTACATAAAATTCGCTGCTGTATCATGTAGTGCGAAATTTAAAAGCTGGGGGTTAAACGTTGGATCCACTCACTGCTACGAATGTTGAGCGTTGATCTACACACGAAGATCTTGAGAAAGCGGTCAGAATTATCCGCTAGTATTATCTTGATAGATATCGAAGACCTTGAGGGCTAATGGTGTTTCGAAACATTTGTCCGAGACCTGCATTTAAATTCTAGTGCATGTGACGAACCCTGGATCAGAGGAAGTCGTGGGCTTTGAAAGCAATTAATTGGTTCAGCTGAAAGTTCACTGATGGCGGTTAGTGATGTGCTTATACACATGGATGAGTATATTAAGAACAGGAATAACTATCTATAGGAACGGAAATAGGCCAGACCACCAGATTAAATAATTTAAAAATGGAAATCTTCAATCTCATGTTTAAGCTATCGAGTGGTCTGGTAATTACTTCGAGCATCCGTCCACCCCCAGATTCATTTAGACTACCCTTAGCAGAATATCAGGCCTGCTGCAATTTCTCTGGCAAATTAAATGCAAATTTGCAAGAAATTTTTGCAAATTCGCTGCAAGTTTGCTGAATACTTTCTTGCAAACGTACTGCAAACTTAATATGTTCTTGCAAATTTACTGCTAATTTGTTGCAAATTTGCCAGAACATAAAGACTTTTCTTGCAAACCTGCTGCAAACTTAAGTTGTTATTGCAAATTTGTTGCAAATTAGCAGCAATACAATTCTTCTTGCAAACTCCCGCAAATTAGTTGCTGCAATTTTGCTAGAATATAGCTGCAAACTTTTCATTTTGCGAAAGGTATTGTAAATATATTGTCTTGAATCTTTATCATTGACATGTGCTCGCAAGAGAATCTATTCTAACAACATATTTGAAATTAAATCAAAATTTATAAAAGAAGCATTCACCGGCAAAAATAAAATATGTAATGTATAAAATTAAATTCCGAAAAATATGCCTTGATGCCTTGGCTTTCAACAAATATCAGTGGTTAAACCCCATTTACACTGGACGGTGTCCTTTCTGCGTCCTTTGTGCGACCATGAAACTGACATCGCTGTGGTCGTAGAAAGGAGACACAATCATCCCTTTGGTTGCAGAAAGAATGCTCAATGATCCGCCAGTTGTCGGCACGTGATTCTTATTTTTACTCTCAAACGGGGCCGTACTATTTGGTACGCTGTCCAGTGTAAAAGGGGGCTTTACAAGTTTGCATAATATAGCTCACGCAGAAAACAATCTGTTAACAAACCAGAGACCCTGATGATATACGGGTAGCAACTTGCACGAGGAGATAATTTTGTCGCTAACAGTGCAAGAAACAATAACACGCGGCATCCTTATTTTAGACAAATATTTTGTCAAAATGACGAAATTTAAGAAAAATTATATTTGTACGAGTAGTTATTAAGATGATTTAGTCCTCAGCAAATTTCGGACCATTTCCCTTTTAAACGTTTCCAGTGTGGGCTTGGCCCACATGCTAGTGCAGTATTTGTGTGGTTTTAGACCATTGATAAAGATGAAACCCCACATTTCACATCTGACAATCACTATAAATGTACATGTACCTTTCCACATGCAGCCTTTTTTTTAACAATCAATTGTAACATTTACGGGTATTCAGCAATTATTACGGTCATAGGACTTGGAACAACTGAACTCTGGGCACGAACAATGTCTGTGCTTCGATGATGACACATAAATACTACGTACTTGCTTTTCAGTTGCAATATACTCTGATGGACACTCCTCTTGAAAATTTAATGTTTGAGAAGAAATTTAATCGGTCAAGAAGGCTGCCACATAATGTCATTACACATCTCGGTAATGGCGTCTGTGTGTTACTTAAAACCGTCTTTTGTACAATTAAATCTGTGCATCACCCTCTACCGGGTTCACTGATTGATTTTTCACCAGATATTCACAAACAATGTCTCTGGCTAAATATGGTCAATCTTTTACCCGTGGCTGGTTGAAAATATGCCTGTAATACCTGCCGTCCTGGTAGAGGGCACCTGTGCATAGTGACACTGTGCATTTTGTTGTATATAATTTAGTAAATCCTAAATGTATCTGCCTAATGCGATCATTCAGTTTTTGGGTGGCTGCTAGAGAGCTCGAATGGTCTTTCTGTCTTGATTTGTTCTAGAAACGTAAAGTCACTTACCTTCACAATCTGAATCAAAATCGTTCATTATGTCTTGCAATATATCGATAAGTAATAGCTGTGTTTTTTTTCTGTTACACAAGTGATAAAAAATTTTGAAGTCTTGTATTTTGCAATGGAATATACATGTACAACTGTTACATGTGCATTGACTTTTTTCGTAAGGTTAAATATCTGTGCAATACGTTTACATCGGTGAATGATAGATGAAAATCGTTTTTTGAAATCTTGATGTGTAATATGAACTTTTTTTTCGCTATCTTTCCACTTCATTTACAGACAGCTATGGCAGACGCCAACGGTTCGAATATTAAAGATCTCGTACATATACAAATTGATGGATGGATCCAGCAATCGTATTTAGTCAGCTTTATTAAACTGCAAAATTACTGTAAGATAAGTTCGGACTGAAAATATGTGCAAGATGGGAATCTAGGAGAGAAAGTTAGAGCATTCTATGGCACCATACGCGTTCATTGTCCAATATCGCTAGAAATAAAGAGTGGTCGTTTTACAGTTAATCAAAAGGGTTGGGTTAATCTAAACGTACTAGCTTCATGTTACTACGGCTATCGGTTAATATGCTGCTAAACTGTTAAGTGTCAAGTAAACCGACTGCGTTTGTTTGTTTGATTGTTTGCTTTTTTGTTTGTTTTCTTGATGACAAGCCTTCGTATTTCCAAAGTATAATATCAGCACTATTCAGACGACTATTTAGCAAGCAAAGATATGCCATTACAGAAAGCGTGGAACAACTTATTCCTCTTGCGCAATGTTTCTTCTCACATTTGTGGAGAAATATGGATACATAAAAGAAAAAAGGCTATTTCACAGGTACTTGGTAGAGCTAAAATGTTGCCAAGATTCAGTTCACGGTTTGAAAAGGTGCAGTGCATTTGAACCAAATGGAAGAGTTGGCCGAGCTGAATCTCTGTACACGACCCGACAAGTGCTTGATGCCAAAACAGTAGTGATGAGGGGGGGGGGGGGGGCAAAGTCAGTTTATTTTTTACTTTTTGAAAACTGCTTGTCTGATTTCAGGA